TATTCAATTATATCGTATTCAATTAGATTCTATTCAATTATATCGTATTCAATTAGATTCTATTCAATTATATCGTATTCAATTAGATTCTGTTCAATTATATCGTATTCAATTACATTATATTTCAACTTTCTTTTATTTCAATTGCATTGCATTTGAATTTCACTCGTCATTAAAATAATTAGCAATTGAATTAACCGAAAGGTTTGAATATTGTTATTCAATTACAACGCGCTTAAATTACTACGTAATTGAAACACAATATAATTACATTGCGAATTTGAATTACAATGTGATTAAATTAGCACGACTACCTATGGTGCATACAAATATACCCATTAGGAGAATAAAATTGCTAAATTGCATGTTAAGGAAAGCAAACATCAGAAAATCTAAATCTTAAACATCAGAAAATCCTCCAAGATACTTTACGAAAATTATGACAAATTCAGGAAAATCTAACGACAATCCAATACGTGGACAATGTCCGTTGAATATTTTTGTACCTTGCGCCGCATTTATTAACGAAAGTAATAGAATTTTCTAGGTTACGACTACAATTCTTTGCAGTACCGTTTTATTAAAGCTTACCACCACTGCCCAGCATATAGTGAACTTGCTGTTCGGCGAATTCACGGTATTCCTGGGGATTGCCGATATCGGGAGAGTCAGCCGCCTCCAGGCAAACGAACGCCACGTTCGCGGCATGGCACAAAGTACCGAATTTGTCGATATAGAGCAGCCCCTTCGGGGTGCGTTTTTGCTGGCGCACCGAGAAATCGCAAAAAGCGCGCGCGGCGTTCTGATATTCCGTTTGCCCCGTCAATTGAGCCAGCAAAACCTGCAACAGAAAAACGATTCGATATTCGTGCTTTTTGGTGATTTATCGCCGGCAGACGCAACAAACGATCCGCACGACTCACGGAAAAAGACTGCTTCGCGAACATTGTTAACAACAAGTTAACGCAATTTGCGAGTCAACGCATCGCGGTTACGCTGCCGCGCGTATCGATCCACGCTGTCTTAAAGTTCACGTTTTAAAGATCAGTTAAATAAGATCTCAGATAAACTACATGCTTGCACGAACTACAACTTATGTTGTGGGACATTTTCTAACGCTTTGCAGACAGCGACTCTGAAGTGACACTGAAAATTGCACGATTCAATGAAATGCAATGTAAAAATTGTTCTTAAATTTCTTAAAACGCAGTTTAAATAAATACGTTTAATGGATCGAACGAAATATCTGGAGCCAAGACAATTTACAATACAAAGGGTTGAAGATTGCATTTAACCCTATGCGAATCGAGCGAGTAAATATTACCAAGCAGTGAAAGCATCTGAATAATGTAAGAATATATATATATATATATATATATATATATATATATAATATATATAAATTTAATATATTATATTATATATATAAATTTTTTTTAAATAGCAGAAGGTAAATAAAAACGTAGCAATCCCTCTCTTAACGAAAGAATATATATATATATATAATAACGAATATATATATAAAAACGTAGCAATTCCTCTCTTAACGAAAGAATATATATATATGCTACGTTTTTATTTACCTTCTGCTATTTACAATTGATTCAGAAAAATTTCGATTTTGCATAAGAATTCGCAGACAAGTAACAACAGATAGCAAAAACAGTCTTAAACAAGGCGAAAGCTTCTTTTAAACGTCACAAATTATTATATAAAATTGCATTTATGATACAAATAGGTTGGCTATAGGTTGGCTAACAGTGGGGAGATCAAAAGAATGAATGTTATTAACGCCTCATTAAAATCATTGAACAAAGAAGGAAATTTCTGTGCTGTCTCTGTTGCAACTTATAAAGAAAATTTTTGTTTCGCACAAAAGATCCATAGTTCACTTATAACTAACTGAAAATTGAAACGGTCGGAGTTAATTTATCTTCAGGTAGTTTGCGAAAGATTAGAAAGAATGTTAGTAGCGTTTTTATTGGATTCGCTTGAAATCATTTATTCTTGCGGAAGGATACTAAACAGGAGCAATTGTCGTATAAATGAAATTGGGTAAACTTAAATTGACATGTCTCGTCGCTAACAATGTTTCGAAAACGAAAGACGTTGATTCACGTCGCTCGTTGATAAAGCGCTCGGTTTACCTGAACACCGGCGACCTTCTTATTGTAAAAGAATTCGTTCGGCCTCTCTTTGAGATGGAAATGTTGGTAATGATGCTCTGCGTCGTCGAGGTAAATCGAGTCGTTTGTTGCCTTGTAGAGCCAGGCAGCCGCCCAAGCTAATTCATCGCCGTAATCTGTGCTCTCGTAGTATTGAGCAGCGCTGCGAATCGCTTCGTGATAGAGTCCCCGATATTTGATCGCAAATCGGTACAACTCTTTGGCGTGCTTCAAACACAGATCACTGTACTCGGGATCATGACGAAAGACAATGCTCGACGCCGCGAGAGCGGCCGACGTTTCTCCTGCCAGGTCGGAACCTAAACAGTTTTATAAAAATTGCTGTAGTATAAATCGGAGTACGATCATAGGAATGTTTTTAATTATACATTCATTTTATTTAGCCCTTATTATCTGCTCCATTAGACAATTTTGTATTGTTCCTAAAAAAGTAGCGCATACTGCAGATCGATTTTTTATTTCGGGGCGATGCAAATATTTGAATCTTTCGTTAGTCGTTATCGTAATTGTTCATTTTCAAAGAAAATATTTATAGATATTTGTTCGTCTGTTACGTCGCTTTTTTATAAGGTGAGTTGAACAAATAAGAGATACGTTTGGAAAATGAAGATCTATTATCGTGTCTAAGTACTCTTTGTATTTTGTAGCATCTCACAGATTTTAATGTTCGTTAAATTTAGCACACTCGGTACGTTATGAAAAAGAATTAATTTCTTTTTAAATTTAGACAAGTAATTGTCGCTGCGAACGTGTTAAATATGTAATGATTATGTGTAGACCGTGTGGTAATCGGTACGTAATAATCGATACGTTAAAGAAGCCACTTTGAATTCGATGCAATTTATTTATCGATTCGCATTATGCAAAGACCTGTTCTTAGATTAAATCGACCTGCTAAATTCTCGAGGGTTTAAGCGGTTTACATATTTCATCGACATACCAGGATGTTCTGCATCGATTTTGTAAGCAGGTCTGCTGGTATTCAATTCCTCGGGCCTTCCCCAAAACGTATGATCAAGAGAGAAATCGCCGACTTGCCCGTAAAACACGCATTCGCTGACGTGGCATTTGATGAAGTAGTCTGTAGCCCATTTGATGGCTTCGCGAAGTTCGTCAAGTTGTCCCGCAGCGTTGTACGCCTCCGGCCAACTAACCGCACCCCAGGCTAAAAGCGTTATCGTTGACGCCATAGTGAATCCGAATTTCACGAAATCGCCAGCTGAAAAACCGTATAAAAGGATATCATTCCAGACAAATATTCTGCGATTTTTACGATTCGAATAGCTATTTCAATGTTAAATATCCGGGTTTCCTTGAAATCAGCGACAATCATTTTATCGACAATGTCTTCATCGACACGATTTCGGCGACATCGCATTTCATCGACATTGTTTACATACCGATACATTGAAATCACCGACAAAAATGTTTACATCGACTCATAATGATAATTAACTCTATGCCGTCCGGTGGCACCACGCTGGTGCCATGCAAAAACTATCTGTTGTATGCCGATGGTGCCATTTGAAAAAACTGAGATAACATTTGAACTATATTTCTTCGGTGTTAAAAGGCAGCAAACTAACTATAGCATTGTGCTTATTTAATTAAGAATTAAGTACGAAAATTCTTGGATGACATATCTTAATTTTAGGAATTTATATTACCGCCATCTTCGAAAGTCTTTTTTAAATCTAAAATTTCCAAGCTATTATGCCAGCGTCAAACAAAAAAATCGTATCTAAGATCTGCGGACGGCATAGTGTTAATACAAATGTTGATTAATAAAGAGTACCGATATAAACATATTATTGTCTCTATTTCTACGTTTCTTATACACGAAGCGTCGATGATATGAAACGATGAAACGAGCGTCGATGTAAACATTTGTCGGTGATTTCAACGTGTCGATATGTAAACATTGTCGACGAAATGCGGTGTCGCTGAAATCGTGTCGATAAAAACATCGTCGGTGAAATAATTGTTTGTGATTCCAAGGTAAGCCAAACTTTCCAACTTGTGAAAATCATTAAAGAAAGAAACAGATTCCTCCTCCTATCTTTTGCAATAACGAATACAAACAATTTTTATTTCGCATAAAAATCAGCGATCTACCAATTAGAATATATTTGTTAGCGTATACCATAGAATAAACAATTGCTCGAACTGCAAAGAGAATTTGGACGTATAACGTGCCCTCCGTATGTAATCACCAAATTGTATACTCGAGATTGTAATTACCATCGTAATAACCACCAGTCAGGTCTTCGCCATTCAAACCATGATCATCCAGTGCCGAGTCCTTCCTCCATGGAATTCGATTGTTCTTCGGCAATTTCCCTGACCGTTGCGCTTCATAAAACAAAAGCGAGAGCTCCAAGACCCGGGCGTAGTCGTTCTCGTCCTCGATGGGTTTTACGTAGAACGTCGGACTCGCATTTATAACATCGATCAATGCGACAGACGTTATGATCACAGTCTGTAATCATTTCGTTTCTACAAGTTCAAAACGATTTGGCAGAAGGGCTATGAATAAGTAAAGCAATAAAACGCATTCCGAAGTATTTTATCCGCCATCCATTAAGAGTTCCAGTAAACGAAGTATTGGGTTGGAAACTAAGTAATTGCCGATTTGTTCAATGAATTAAAAAAATTTTTTTTACTTGGAATGAAGTTTAATCTGTAATGTATTTTCCAGTTTGTTCGATGACCTTTTGCCATCTGTCTGACAACTTGAAAATACCACGCTCGAGGAAAGTCTGATCCTTTTCGGCCAAAAACTGAGTTAAGTGAGATTTTACAGCGTCATCATCGTTAAAAGTTTTACCACGAAGGGAGTTGTCCAGGGATCGAAATAAGGGGTAATCCGATGGCGCGAGATCAGGGCTATATGGTGCGTGTAACATCAATTTCTAACCAATATCCATCAATTTTTGCCGAGTGGACAAAGACGTGTGCGGCCTAGCATTGTCCTGCTGGAAAATGACACTTTTACGATTGACCAATTCTGGTCGCTTTTCCTTGACCGCTGCATTCAATTTGTCCAGTTGCTAACATTCACGGATAATGAAAAATAACATAATCATAATAATAATAATAACTTTACAATATAACATTTACGGATATCATAAAAATGGGAGTGAGAGACATCTATAACTGAAATCGGCAATTACTTAGTTGCCAACCCAATACATTTTCTTTTTTGGCATAATTTAGAAAAGTTTTAATTATAAATACTTGATAATTAAAGTTGCGGTTGTCTCATGCATTTATGGTGCACAAGCAAATTTATAGAATATTAGAAACAACTCTAGGACGACTTGTTCCAAATCATTCTTTTCATAGTTGTAAAAATTGTAAACCTACTTTTGTGGATCACTGTTTATAACTTTATTTACTCCTGCGCGTATTGAAATGAAGATCGCCTGTTTCATTATATTAATAAGCATAGATTCATTGTATACAATCTTTTTTTATTGTATACTTATAAAAGCGAGTGTACTTACTCGTATCGCATTTAAATTGTTTATTTAGTGCAAAATTGATTTAAATTGGAAAAACACACGCCAACAATTTTTGTAGGACACGATAAGTCAGATACTTTTATTATTTTTAGTGTTAAACAAAGTCAGATGTATTCTTGTCTTACTGTCAACATAAAAAGTCCTCCGTTTAACGAATAAAATGTTTCCTTGAAACTGAATGCATTGAAGTTAACAAATCGTCGGTACAACAAAGTACAACAAATTCGTCGATAAATTACACCGTGATTACTAGTAATTACTTCAACGATTTCGGAAGTTGAAACTGGTTCGATCCAGGCCAACGTTAAGCTTCGAGAATGAAATTCTTCTGTTCGAATTTCGGAACACTGCGAAGACAATTTTTACTGTAAGTATAAACAGAGCGACTTATCGTTGATACAGGAGGCAATACGATAAACTCATAAAACTGTGATCAGTCCGCAACGCACGTACGAAAAGCCTACGTGACAAATTTTAGCAGAGGCCACCGAGGACTCGTGGACTAAAGTTTCGTTATAACATTAGGGGCTCGATAGAAAATCTCCCGATACGAAACCACTCCTCACTTCGCGCGCGCGCGCGCGTGTTTCAATCGCGAGAGTATCCTCAACTTGCAGTGCTCGTAAAAGTTTCTAAAAGAAACCGCGAACTTCTACGAGTTTCGGAGGAACGAAAGTAATAGGTTGTGTGAGAGAGATCCTTCTTCGCTATACTCACGCGTGGTTAACTAAGTTCTCACGTCTTGTTGCTGATAACTAGACGGCGGATTTTTATGCAGAACAGAAATTGTCCGCGTTAATTGCAACATCGACGTTTATTTCTTTCCTTAATTATTTTAACGAGCTAGAAACATACGTTCGTACCGTTTTGCTTTTGATCTACTCGTTTTCCTGATAGATTCATAAAATCTATACGTAATCGACTGTAAATGTTTGCGTGAATTATAATTATAAAGAATAGGGGAAAATTTTATTTATTGTAATAAAAACTAGGAAAAGTAGAAGCGACATGAATGTTTCTAAGGAACGTGCGAGGATTACTTTAATGTGAATGAAAATACTGTTACTATTACGATAAATATGTAAATGGTAAAAATCTTTTGAAGATTGAAATGATTTATAGATGAATAAAAAATTGACAAATCAGAAAGTAAATCTTTTTTTCTAGGCTTTGATACACGTAGTTTATGAGCAGAGTGATTAACCCTCTCAATGTTCAGTCCGTATTAAATAGTTTGTGAATAATTTAAATAAATAAATAGTTATAATACAATAGTTATAATAAAATAAATATTTCATGTGAAAAATTTGATCGATCATGATCTTTGTATAATATATAACATGATTATAATTTAACTACAAATAATATGCTCTGCAATACAAAGTAATACGGAGTTACGAAAATAATATAAAAAGTGGATGCTATATTTTCTGATTTTAGTCAGCACTCAAAGGGTAAATTCTTGAGTCCGCAGGACGGGGTGAAATATCAAATGTGCGGTTAAAAAAAATGATAACAGTTTTCCGGCAGTGTTTACGGAGTTTCGTTAAAAATAAAATTTGTCCGTTTTCCAATATTACTCATGAAAGCTTGCCGAAATGTTGTATTATACAGGACACGTTTGTTGCGAGTAAAAATTAATTATAATTTGTTTTTAGTAGTTAATAGTTAAATTGTAATTTGTTTTTCATTGAAAATCTATTTTTTCCGTTCTTAATAAGTAATCGTCCACTAATAATTATTCATAAACATTCCGGATTCTCTGGTACCGGTGCCGAAGAACGCGTGTGCCAGCGATGTGAAAGAGGTACGTGGAATGAGTTTGGAACCGTGTTCGGAAACTCTTCTTTGCCCAGGCGTGTACGTCTGTTCCGAGAAGTTCTCAAGGTTCGTCGACCACGTAATATCTGTGTGACAAACGCCAATACCTTCCGCAAATACCGCGCCTATTGTCAGCTTGTGTGCCTGCGTTTTTGCCGCGGCGACGACAAATTTTGTCTAAGCTCGGTTCACCTGCTGAAACCCGGCGAACGTGGATTCTAATATTTTCGATTGTAAACAGTCGCTTAACATCTTCTGTGACAAACGCGAGAGACATCGCTAAAAGTTTGTCAATTTATAATTAAAACGTTAAACTATTTGAGATTTGTTTCAACGGGTATCAGATAATGTTACAACGCGATGCGTATTACAGCGCGACATTTAGACAAAGAAAGGATAAAAACGGTTGATTCAGTTCGTTGCCTTCCAATTTACATTTGTTGGGAACTTTTCGCCCTACGTATACGCCCTACGTATTCCCAATTGCGGGTGTAGTACCGTTCGAAGGTCAGTCGAAGCAGACAATAAGAATGCAGACTTGCGTGATGGTAATACACGTCTGCCCATAAGACTTGGGACCGGAAGTTGATGTCCAGGTCGTTACGTCCGGCCACACGAATGAGTTTATGGTCGTCAAACTCGGGGATTCGCAACGATCGGGAGAAATATGATTTATTGACAAGCTATCATCATATGCGAAAGTGAATTCCATTGTTCGTGTGACCTACTGTTACTCGATTATTTGACTTTTTATTTTACTTGTACGTTTTATAAATTAACGATACAAATAGTAATTCGATGTTAACTCGTATAATTAAATAGTCCAGTTGCCTGGTAAATATAACAAAATTTTCATGTAGCTTATATAACATGGTAACGATAATTTTTTAGTATTGTCGAAGGTTAAATATCTTATTCCGTGTATAGAGAATTTGTCGAAAGAAATTAATGTTGATCGAAAGAAAGAGATGGATAAATATAAAATGTTTCAGTATGCGATATCATGTGTAAAGGTTCATATGAATTGCATCATGCGAGAAATACCAATAGGTATTCAGTGATTCAATGTCTCGCATCTTGCTTGATAAGCACGTAAGTTTTCCCGATGATGAAAACAGCACGATGAAGAAATCAAATTTAACACACGTTCAGGCGAGTTTAACAAGTCAATTCGATGTTGCATCGCATTTTTTGTTCCACCGAACGACGAACAGATTTACAAGCTTTTGTAATTTAGTCCGTTTCTCTTCGAATTGTTTCTTAACCCCTTGCCTTACGATTTATTTTAACGGAAACGCGCGTGTACAGACAACTTAATTTAACAGAATTATATAGCTAAAATATTCCTATTTTTATTTAATATATTTGTATAAATGCGGACATTATTTCACTTGCAATGGAACAGTTTAATAAAGTAATGCTGATATTAGACAAAAATTTGAAAAATATATCCGTTACAATGAAATTAAGAGAAAAATTCTTAATTGAAATTATCGTTAACAAAATTTACAAACTATTTAAATTCCTTTCTAATATTGTTTATTTTCTGATCATTCATTGTAACTATAATGATATTATTTTGGACAAAAAAATAAGGCGAGAGAATGTATAAGTATTATAACTATTTTTCTTAACAGTTAGAAAAAATTTATATGGTTTTTAAACATTTAAATATGCAGCGGGCGTCGCCTCGTCAGATTCGAGACTAGTCATTTCCGCTTAAGTGGTCAATGAGCGACGATGTCTTTGGAATTTTGTAAGAATTTTGCAACGTTGGATATAAATAGCTCAGAATTCTCTATGAAGATTATACTTAGCCTCGTATAACCGCCGTTCGTAATACTTTCCCGTGTAAGTATACATATATTATGTGAACCTTTCAGAGACACGGTCTTAGAGTAATCTTTCTTTTTAAGGGATATAAATTCTGTTGCCGTGAATATGAAATGTGTCGCCAGTAATAAAACTAGAGTGCTAGTGCAGTCGTAAATTTCATTTTATCATCTATTCAGCCGAAAAACCAAATATCGCATAAATATAACACAGGTTTTTCACTCTGGTTATTTTCCAGTTAATTTATGACGTAATTTATTCTTGAACGTTCGTCGATTATACCTTTCGCGACATTGATTCTGGAACACGGAATTTTCACGAACAGATAAAACATTGTTTACCGATTAAAGAAACATCGTGTACGTCAGCAACCGATCGCGTGAACACGGTTAAATTAAGTAGACATCGGTGTCGGTCTGTTCAATGACGCTTAAATGAATCTAGCTGCAGCGCTGATGGCACATCGGATCATTTTCCAAATGAGTAGAGCTTATTATCGCAAGTTACGCCAGGTAGAAATTTAATAATGCCTGGATAAATGAACATCTCGCACAGATGATACGACAATATTTTAAGATCTCTTATACATAACTGTATTTCATCGATGGTATTATAGTTCAGTCATAAAATATTCTTGACGAATGATCTGCGATAAAAATTTTTTAACGTATATTTACTCAACAAAAAATCATTAAAATATTGCGATCTCTTTCAAAAGAAGAGTTTGTTATATTTTATCCTGCAACATCAATTTCGAAGTTCGTTCCGTTCAATTAGAAAGTTAGATTGAAAATAAAGTAATTAAAAACTCAACACACACACACACACATTTTGCTAGAAAGAATATATAGATATTTGAAATTGTCCTGGATAGACCGACGACGTTTATGCAAAATATACAAATTTTCTCCGTCAACTGCAAGTAACTAGAGAGTTAAGTAAAAATTTATCTCTTCGGCTAACAGATTTTAGGTTATAAATAATATAAATAATACATATTTTAAATTCTACTATCTTATTATCCCAATATTGTTCGATTAAATACTAATCATAATATAAATAATTTCTGTTTAAATGATTTCAACGTTTATATTCCTCTTATCTATCTTTAGTTCGAATAAATCGAATTATTGTTTACGTTTGAGCAATTACTTATCGTTGCTTTTTATCGAAATTCAGGCATCTAATCGCATCGGCGAATCTATTAGGCAACTAACTTCGATTACTCACCGTTACACAGGTGAACACGTTCAGCTTCATCGTCGGTGTTCCTCCACAACTACTTATGTGGGGACACGGATAGTTGTTAATCACCTTTTAGTCGTATTTGCTAGAGCCAGCCTGGAGCACGTCCCGTGATGCATATCGATAATTTACGAGCGCCTCTTCATCAACGTTTTCACCGTAATCTGAAGTCTCTACTTCAATCGCGAAACGTTCATGGAATTCTTCTGTATCGCAGATTCAACACTCCGCTGTATCTTGGTCAAGTTGGAAATTGAATCTCAATCCTCCTATTAAGAGTATTTCCACAGTCTCTGTTAAATACAGAGCCATGTTACTCGTCACGTGTCCTCATTTCAGACAACCGTCTCTGGTCCTGCGATATTTCCAATAATCAATTAGCAACTCGGTTGGAACTTATTGATTCGTATCGAGTAAAAATTAATTGTTCCGTCGAGACTGTACATTTCAGAAATTTACGGAAATAGTAGCGATTGTCTGGAGAGTCGGAGGCTTCCGTTAATGTAGACAAATTCATGCGGAATACAGTGATGTCTCCCTAACTGACGCTCAGATTGTGCACAAAAATGGACAATTTGGGAAGAGGAGATACGATTATTCGAGCCTTGCGACTTGTTTTTATAATTGTCGAAAATCGGTAACTATAAAAACGAGTCGCAAGGCTCGAATAATCGTATCTCCTCTTCCCAAATTGCCTATTTCTGTGGACAATCTGAGCGTCAATTAGAGAGACGTTACTGTACTTCTGATTACATTTTTCATTGCAGCTTGAATCATTTGTAACTTTCATTTTGATTCTTTCAGTTTTTAGTTTTCCAAAGTAATTTATTCTCTAAAGTGCATTTTCTAAAGTGCATTTTCAAAGTAAAACATCAAGAGGAACAAACGTCGTGGAAAGATTAGTGAAAGTCAATTTGAAACTTTTAAATGCAAGTCTCTGATTTAATTACGTACTTTTAGAGCTGATATTTGAATCTACGAAGCGACTTTTTGTTAAATAAAAATTTTCTTTACGAAGCACGATTTTATTCGTATCTATTAGCTTATAATTGCCGATCATTGTTATACTGTTATCAGCAAATCTCAAACTTGCAAAATCTTTTTCTCTGAGCAGTGACGAGGAAACACCGAGAACATCACCGACGAGGAAAACCGGCGAACTGAGATCTTCGTTTCATTTTCCCTTTGGTAATCCTTAGTTCTGTAGATGAACAATTCACAACGAAGGTTTTCTATATGTACTATCGGTGTTTACATACAATGGCAGAACTGTTTCACGAATTTTCTCATTCGTAATTTTCTCCTATTAAAATTCGGTATGCAATGGTTAAATCGAGATCGCGATAGAAACGGTTATAATTTAATCTTTCTGTTGCAGTTTCTTAGAAAACACGTGCTCCAGTATTTTTCACACGAAAAGAAATATAAATAAACAAAAATAATAGCAACGAAATAATGATAATACCTTTTTCTCGATTCATAATTTTCTCAATAAAGTGCTTGGAATTTTATTTCATTTTGTTGCGTTTACAGTCACTGAGCTACTCGAGTTTTATGAAATTTACACAATAAACGTAAGAAATAGAATATACAATTTGTCGTAACACCAGTTTGCACAGTTTCAAGCCGATTTTCAGTTTACCTTTAACTCGTCGACACCGATAGCGAATAAATACAATACAATTTTCATCGATCGTGAATTTTCCCAGAAAAATATGCATTCGCGTATAGTGTTTCGTAATTCAAATGTAAATCGCCGCTCTGTGTTTCAAGTTGCAATAGTTAGCGAATGCATATTACGGATTTGCATCAAGATGCATTGCAGTTCCTTTTACTATTTTTAACCGTGAAACAAGAATTTACATTTGTATAACACCGAGATTGCCATTAATTTCGCGATAAGAGAGAGGGACGAACGTGTCAAAGAATTCGAATTGTCCTCGGTATACGTTATTTGCATTCCGTGAGGAATTTCTCGGTAAAACGATTGCGGAGATATCGAGGAAGTCGAGTGCGCAGGAAGTTTGGAAAGTGGACATTCACTGTCGCGGCTAAATATTTTGTCTGCGCTCTTATCTGCGGCGAATTGTTAAACAACGTTGATGAAAATGGAAAACCAAGGATCTCCTAACCTCCGGCTAACAGTTTTCTTTTTCTTTATAAATGTTAACGTTTCGAAATATTCTGTTTTATTGATCGTTTGCATAAAATTTCACTTCGATAACATTCTCTCCCCCCCACCTCTCTCTCTCTCTCTCTCTCTCTCTCTCTTTCGATTTAATAAAGCTTTCTCTATCACTTTTTGCTTTCGAGAAATTTAGTGTAAAAAAGGTAATATTTTCAACTTCTAAAATTTGTTCTGCTCTAATCGTAAATAATAAATGATTGTCAACTACGAAGTGTAGAAAGCAAAGAGAGGAGGAAAAATATAATTTTCTTTTCTATAGAACATCCTTGTTTTTCGAAAATGGCAAAAGAACAAGCAGCAAGATCTTTTCGATTTAATAACGTTTCCTCTATTACTTTTTGCTTTCGAAAAATTTAATGTAAAAAAGGTAATATTTTCAACTTCCAAAATTTGTTCTGCTCTAATCGTAAATAATAAATGATTGTCAACTACGAAGTGTAGAAAGCAAAGAGAGGAGGAAAAATATAATTTTCTTTTCTATAGAACATCCTTGTTTTTTGAAAATGGCGAAAGGACAAGCAGCAAAAGCTTTTCGATTTAATAACGCTTTCTCTATCACTTTTTGCTTTCGAGAAATTTAATGTAAACAAAGGTAATATTTTCAACTTCCAAAATTTGTTCTGCTCTAATCGTAAATAATAAATGATTGTCAACTACAAAGAGTAGGAAGCAAAGAGAGGAGGAAAAATATAATTTCCTTTTCTATAGAACATTCTTGTTTTTTGAAAATGGCGAAAGGACAAGCAGCAAAATCTTTTCGATTTAATAACGCTTTCTCTATCACTTTTTGCTTTCGAAAAATTTAATGTAAAAAAGGTAATATTTTCAACTTCCATAATTTGTTCTGCTCTAATCGTAAATAATAAATGATTGTCAACTACAAAGAATAGGAAGCAAAGAGAGGAGGAAAAATATAATTTCCTTTTCTATAGAACATCCTTGTTTTTCGAAAATGGCGAAAGGACAAGCAGCAGAATCCTTGAGAAATTCGCGAGTACGGCAACCAAATGGATCAGATTCAAACTAACGATCGGTTAGAAACTCTCGTTACGACGAATTGTACGGTAATTATAGATTGCGTTTCATACGTCAGGAAAGTGTCAATCTTATCGGCTACGCTCTCATGGTTTCAGTTTAGCATTCGGTTGAGGACGTAAAACTACGTTGTTGTATAAATCGAATTTCGACGTTTCTTTCACAATTAAATGCACATTTTACGTGAGTTACCAAGATTGTGCTCATACACGCTAATCGAACCAAATAAATGGTATAACCTTGAAAAATATTTCTTTTAAGCCTGCAATGTTTCATCGAGCATAACAACTGCAGACAACGTATATCAGAAGATTGATTGTTACGATATAAATTAAATAACAGAGTCGTAATAAAATACTATATTTTTAAATTATGAAATGAAAATATTGAAATGTTTGAATTAAGAATTACATGGAAACAAATCGCTTGTAGCGTAGTAACAAATCGCTTTAAAAATTGTGTGCTGTTAAGTACGTAATTATTATCTTTAAACTTTACATAACTTGACTTGCCGACCTGATTAACGAAGAGTTACGATCGTTACAAAGGTTAAGCGTAAAGTTTTTCGCTGAATAATATTTTGTGACGCGGTTGTCGATTCGTTTAGCTACCGTTCGCGAATGATTCATCCAAACCATGCATACCGCGTGTAAGAAACATGCACGAAAGATGCTTCGACGATCATTAAGTCGATACTTTCAATGCAGATTCCATTGAGTCATTTCGTAAAGATTCGATGAAAATTTAGAAACGAATACCAAGTAATATCGAACATGTGTACATGTAACAATCCGATAATCGCTGAATAAACCTGTTTGGTTTAAAGCATAAACAAATAAATAAGTAAACGACTAAAATAAATCATTTACTTTGAACTTCGAGTATCTAATGTATTCGAGTATTATCTGTATTAACGCTAATAATTCCGAATCGATCAATTCTGAAGACAATTTAGGATTTATTGTCATATCTCATTTCACATTTTACGAAAGACGAAAACGAATGTTATCTGACAGAACATCGTTAATTTTCTGTCACGAAATTAACGAAAAGTTAAATTAACATTCAAGTTTTTGAATTATCCGAATATTAACAACATTACATGCGGTATTCAAATTGGTAGTTTCACGTGCGTATGGTTACCGAACAGTGTAAAATGTAATGAAAATCTTTATTTTATTTTCATTTTCGCAATTCTTAAAAAATAGCCGAAGTATCTAATTTGCGGTTTCCATGGAAATTTAAATTCGAGCGGCAGCGAATCGAGCGTCTACTTTAATGTTGTGCCTCCAACTCCTTCGCCAGTAATTAAATGCTCTGTGGTAACGACTTACCTACTACAATCCCGTAACTAATCCTCTTTGGAGCTGTTGCAAACATGAACGCACCAGGTATCTCGTCCGTACACGTGTGTGTCTTCTTTAGCCGCGCAACAAATTATCTCCGGTTTAACATTCGGCCAGCAATAACTCACTGAAACGGTCGAACATACCGCACGTTTTGTTGGGCGAACGCACTGTCGACCAGAAAATTCGTCCGCCAGGAGTTCCGATAAATCACCGTTGTTGGTCGATTCCGGCGACGATCAGCCAAACGGTTCAATTGATTCACCGACTGATCGATTATGTGTTTGACTGGCTGACTGACTTACTGACTTACTGACTGACTGACTGAGTGGCGAGTAACTTGCCAACGATCCCAACCGGCCAAAGGACGATCAGGTGGGGAGGGAGGTGGGGTAACTACTCGAGAACGAAAGTACTCGTCTCGCGATTTAATTGAAACGATTGTCTAATGAAGGTGTCGGCAATCTCTTTTTGGCCGCGTGTCAAAATCAACCAAAATGTGGCTACTGAAAACAACACCTTTCGGATCAGCGGTATTTTCATTTTAAAACAGTCTTTTAGCTAATAATAAGATGAATTCTAATAAGAGAATAATTGCAATGTGCTTTTAAACTTTAAATGTAAAAATTCAAAATTATAATTATAATTATTATAAAAGCAAACATAAGTATCAAATTATCAAATGGGTCGCTTGGCGACCCGCGGGTCATAGGTTGCTTCGTCTAATGCATCGGGTCGAACCAAAACTGAAAGTTCATTTCTGTTCTTCAAATTTTTGTCGGTTCAGCATAACAAAGTGATAAGAGTCCAACACATTTCATACAAATTCCTACAAAATAAAACTAATTTAATACTTGGACGGCGAGTTTTGGGTCCACTGGAACTTTTAATATAAATATTGTTTTACTTAACTCCTAGCGTTTTAGTCAGACCGACGAAAATCTCATACATAATCTACTAAATATGTATGTTCTTAATTTCCTCTAACTTCGAAACAAAATTGATATTTTCTCTTATCAAAATTTTGTTATTAAAACATTGTCTTATTCTACTAGAGAAATTAAGGACGAAGAAATGTTAATCGATTCAGCAGTTGTGAAAGAAATCGAAGTGCAAGAGGTTAATTGCAACCGACTTTTTGAAAATTAATTAAAATGTTCAAAAGCATTGAAAAATATTGATAAGTAAAATTATAAATGGTCCTCGGCATACTGTGTTATAGTTTTGTCGAAAAGGTCAGCTGTACGAGCGTTAATTAACAAAACCGAGATTAGGAAGTGAAAATATATTATGGTACTTAACACGTTAATTAATATTCGCCCGATTCATATTCTTGATTATTATTAAAACGAATGATTGCTACTCTATTCAACCATTTTCATTGATACTGTCGCTTCGTGCTCGTTCAACAGTTTTTCAATGCCTGTGTCTGGAGTTATTTATGACTCGGCACAATAAAACCAACAGAAGGTATACTTGGAACCATTTAAATTCATTGGAGTAATAGAGAATCGCATTCGGTGCGAGTACAAAAATAATATGAGCCGAGAGTTTTCATAGTAATTGACGACGCGTACTTCAACGTTTTAATAGTTAAAATCATTATGTCAATTTGCAAATGTTAAAATGTCTAGAACCGCGCGCAAATTAAATAAAACTTTAGAAATATTCAATTACAGTAATTTGTAACATGTGGTCGTAACTAATGCGCGAACAAGACTGTTACTTAAGAGTGAAACCTGACAGGATAATTAATTACGAAACCATTTATTTGCTTTTACTAAATACGTTTCACTAATTTGTCTTTAATGATATGTTCTCATATTAAACCTATATAATTGCAGACATAATATGCGTATAAAGGTGCTAAGAAGATCATCTCGTTGACATAAATAGTCGTTAGCGAGTGTAAGCACTCATCGAATTCACATACAATTATTCATGCAAATCCGGATTGTCAATAATTTAGAAGAACAGAGGATCTGCAAATTAAAACATCGTAGCGATGAATTAAAATTGTACATAATAATATAACAAAGTTTCAAGTTCTCAATAACTTAAGGCAAATATAAGCTAGTTTTAAAGCCGAACTTGTGGCAGAGTTATTTTAACGAAAATCTCTACAACCACTTTAATATTTGTCAACTTATTTATCCCACTTATCACTTCGAATTCCTAGCACATGTATGATCATCCCGCAAATTACTGTTGATTTTGACGTGCGCAGTTCGGATTACGTATTTTTCACATTTACACTTCACATTTCGTATTCGATGTTAAAAAAAGAACATCGCAGCGCTTTCATGAATGCATAGTAAATAATGATCGGCATCTTTTTTGTCAGAATTATAATATTTACAATATACACGTGCTTGTGTTGATCATCAGTTAAAATTCGGTTTAACATACTTATGGATTATAAAGTGAAAAATTCATTTGATCACAGTAGATCATACACTTGTTACAATTGAGTAACTTTTGTAAACTAACTTTCTGACATTGGTAAAAACTTCATTTCGTATAAATTAATTTTTAAAAAATGATGCTATTTTAAACGATGTACGGAGTGACTTTTTTTGTGTATATTATATGTATATGTACGTACACATACAGGTGCAACGTTTGGTGCACGTTCGCTATAAAAACGCCCGAGTAACCGCAACCTGCATGGTCGAAGTTAACGGCAAGCATTCGGAGAGTCAGTGTATGATTTGTGACTTATTGTACAAACTGAAGAAATTTTTGACAAGCTTACAATGCGTTATTGTTTTACCATTTACTTCTTTGTCATACATATCCATTCTTGAATTATCGCACTATTGTTTCCATTCTACAACTTCGAGAAATAGATATTTCAGATAAAAGAAAACCTGAATGAGGTACTAAATTAAATTCTTAGACTAAATTGTCATTGAACAGTATAAAATGTCCGGTAGAAATGGTTTTTAGCAACTAGACCTTGGATTTTATGAATTTATGACAGAAACGAATAGGTGAAGTGCAAAGTTGAAAAATTGTAGAAATTTTCGACTTTTTAAAACTTTTGAACGTAAAACCACATTTTCATTTAACTTTTATTCTTTACAATTGATTTGCAAATAATTTGATATTTTCCATGAAGATCTTGATAACTACGAATTTAACACGACACCAAAGAGAAGTAATAGTATTAACCCTTCTTTCTCTTAATTTTCTATTTCTAATTCTATTAATTTTCTATTTCTAAAATAGAACCAGATATATATATAAATAATTATAATCACAATTAATTTAAGCGTTCTTTCTGCGACTTTAAAAATGAAAGAAGGTAAAATTGTTTAAAATTCTTTTCGCGATACATACGCTTTTTCTAATTAATTTCAAACGATACTTTTATAAAATTTAACGACTCGCAAAGCGGCACACCTCTTAACTGCAAACGTCCTCACGCTTCTTTTCATTTTGTAAGTACCGCAAATTGAATTCAAGTAGCAATCGTGGGAAATAATTTTGCACGTTCTCTATTTTTTATCCGGTGCCGCGAGTTGCGCACGAACCAAGCCTATTTTTCATAATGAGGCGGGCGTGGTATGCAATTAAAAAAACGAACGTCGCTTTCAAAAAACGAAAGTACCATACTCTATGTGCGTGTGGTGCGACAGTGTGACCCACTTTCGACTCCACAATTACGTGAAAATAAACGAATTATCCGGGCGTAGACGATCGCGCGTGCAGTTGCACGGTGTTTCTATACTTCGAATGAAAGTATTCAAGCATTCTGCACTTAAAAGATCATTTCTTAGAACGCCCGTGTCGGTAAGTAAGTTCGCTTTTTATAGTAAATTTGAGCGTAACCGTGCATGTGCAACTGGATTTTCTCTTTAGTCTAGCATGTTCGACCGACGAAAAAAGGAAACAAGGCTCGTGTCCTGACGAATACGAAACGTTTTGTCATCTGGTAAAACGCACACGCACACACAGACTATTTTCAGTATGCGTGTAAATACTGTAGAAGGATCTCTGAATACCTTTGTCTTTCATAAGTGTGTCAGAAAGCTGCCGAATTCGTTAATAGCAGTGTTGAGCGTATTTTATTCCGATAACGAATAACGAATAAAATATTACTCATAGAATTTATTCAAAATATTATTCGAATGAAATTTTATTCTACGAATCTATAATCTATATTTATTCGAATAAAATCTTATTCGAAGAATTTATTTGAAAGATTAGTCGAGTAAAATTTTATTCGAAAGATTTTGTAATATTGTTCCAATAACATTTTATTTTTACAATGCTCAAATCTGGTTAAGAGTTATTTCACTACCGGTATTAGAATGTCAATTAAAGAGCGTAATATCGAACACACAATGTAAAGATACTTGATCCGAATATTGTAATCTCGATTTCGATTACCTGATTATCATGTGTACGTACAAACATGCAATCCGTGTACACGTTTACCGAGGATATTGAACTCGTTAATTAACAGTATGTACACGTATCCCACGTGTATGTGTATGTTCCCACGCGTTCAAAGCCACGCCTTCTAATTAATATGTCATTATGACATACGAATACGCAAAATGCTGAAATAATATACATATATTTCTGTACATGCTCAGTTTTCGTTTAAGTTCTCCAATCTATTTATTATTATAACGTATAATGTGATACAACGATTTTTTTAATGATTTTATATGATCTGCGCACACGAGTTATAAATCATGATTCGTTCAATATTTCATTTTCTTGTTGCTGGAATAATATTCTTTTCTTCTCGTTTCATGTTACAATATTTTTGGAATTCTATGTACAGTGGAAATGTTGTTATTAGGTTATGGATGCTATGTATTCACAGAAAATATACATAATTTAATACAACATAAGCGTACAAGGATTGTAATAAAAAATGCTTAACATTATATGGTTTTCTTTTGTTACGTGAAATTGTCAAAAATTAAAAATGTTCATTCGTAATGTTCGTAGTAATAGTACTATACATATAAACTTCTTTTTTTTGTACGCACGCAAAATTCAATGATTGTTGTGTAGTGTTTCAAGATCATTCGCGAATAAACATACATTGTATTTTTTTAATGAAACAGTATTAACGTATTAACCCTTTGCACTCGAGTGGTGACCCCGAGCCACCAGTTAACATCACTTTCCAAGATAATTTCTATATTATAAAAGCTTAGATACAACAAATTGTTAAAAGACTAATTGTTGTACGAGTCACAAAACTAAATTTTATATGCATAAAATGCACTTTGTCATATAAAATAGAAATACCGTAAGTCAGAAGAATGAATTTAGATTTATAATTAAAATAACTTCGAGTGCAAAGGGTTAAACACTGGAACTACGGAACCCTAACGGTGACTGATGTATATTGTTTTATAACAACGATAAGACTGAAGTTCATAAATTTTTTCATAGAAAAGTTTTTATGATTGTCAGCAACTGTAAAGGAACGAACTAGAAACAAATCGTTTCGATCCGTCTGGTAGTTATAGCGTTAATTCTCTATGCTTCTGCGCTAAAAGTAAAAAAATGCGGTATAAGAAATAGACGATTTTCAGTAATATATTACTATCTAGTATTTTCAATTAAAAGCTCTTCACGATCGATGTATAAAAAGATAAATACATAGTTTGATACTGAAATCAACTACTCTAAAATATATATATAATGGACAAAATATATATAATATATCGTAAACAAGTTTTTTAAAGATCTAAAAATGTACAACACATCTAATTTATACCAAATATTCTTGGTGTTAGCACCAAAATGAGAATTGCTTAAGATTACACAATTTTCCGCCAGGTACGTTCTTAAATCTTAATCGATGGACAATTGTCGAAACGATCCGTCGAGGCCGAACAGATCGTCTTGTGTTTTTGGTTTCCCAGGTCGAAGAGCTTCGTTCGATTTTACAGATTCCTGTTCTTTGAACCACGGCCCGTACTCTTCCAGCTTCTTCATCCAGGTATCTGAAACCAAACAGGCGGTCAATAGCTCTGAAATTTTGCCAGAAGGAAAAGTGAAAGATTCGTTCTTTAATTTCGCTCCGTTCCTCGCAGAAAATAGAAAAGCATATATTTTTGTAATATCAATGAAAATATTTAAACACGCAGACAAGCTTGAAACGAGATCAGCGCAATTAATTCAACAACTTTCTCGCACACTTTTCAATCTACTTCAATTTATTCGTTTATTATCTACGAGAAAGGCGTATTGATCGTTCGAGAGTTCCAAGAATTTCCTATATGGAATAATGTATTTCATATTGCGCACTCCGTGGCAAAATGATGGCTATTTCTACAGGGTGGTCATAAACTGGAGCTTCAGCAGATAAATAGCATAAGTTGTCAATGCGATAAAAGAATGGTTTCGGAGTTTTCTTTCTGTCACCGAAACGAAATCGTCAACACGATCGGATTAAATATTTGTACATTGTGTCCTTACAATGTCTTTTTGTTGTTTCTAGCGTAACAGCAATTTGTTTAATATAACTTCCGAAAATTGAGCGATCATGCGACGATTTCAATAAACTAGGTTCGAATAACCCAGTAACCGCAATGCGAGGGTGAACTCGAAGAACTTTATACTTCGGTACAGTAAATTCTCCCTAATTGACGCTCAGATTGTGCACAAAAATGGACAATTTGAGAAGAGGAGATACGATTATTCGAGCCTCGCGGCTCGTTTTTATAGTTGTTGACAATCAGCGACTATAAAAACGAGCCGAAAGGCTCGAACAATTGTCCATTTTTGTTTCCAAGCTGAGCGTCAATTAGGGAGAATTTATTGTACCTGTTTTAGATTTCCATGTTTAAAACATTGAATATTTTATACGACAGTCGCAGGAACGAAGCAATTTTGTAATTTTAATAGACTGTAATTTATTCAGAAAATCTCTCGAAATAATCGCTCTGATACTGACATTCATAAAGATTATGCGAACAAACAGTGTGCTCATTTTTCTGTTAACGTTTCACTGTTCCGTAAGTTGTTCGAACAAACTCTCGAGAGAACCTATTGTCAATAACTATAAAAACGAGCCGCGAGGCTCGAATAATGGTGTCTCCTCTTTCCAAATTGTCCATTTTTGTGCAGAATCTGAGCGTCAATTAGGGGGAATTTACTGTACCGAAGTATAAAGTTCTTCGAGTTCACCCTCGCATTGCGGTTGCTGAGTTATTCTGGCCTAGTTTATTGAAATCGTCGCATGATCGCTCAATTTTCGGAAATTAAAAACGAATAATGGTATCTCCTCTTTCCAAATTGTCCATTTTTGTGCAGAATCTGAGCGTCAATTAGGGGGAATTTACTGTACCGAAGTATAAAGTTCTTCGAGTTCACCCTCGCATTGCGGTTGCTGAGTTATTCTGGCCTAGTTTATTGAAATCGTCGCATGATCGCTCAATTTTCGGAAATTAAAAACGAATAATGGTATCTCCTCTTTCCAAATTGTCCATTTTTGTGCAGAATCTGAGCGTCGATTAGTGAGAATTTACTGTACCGAAGTATAAAGTTCTTCGAGTTCACCCTCGCATTGCGGTTGCTGAGTTATTCTGGCCTAGTTTATTGAAATCGTCGCATGATCGCTCAATTTTCGGAAGTTAAAAACGAATAATGGTATCTCCTCTTTCCAAATTGTCCATTTCTGTGCAGAATCTGAGCGTCGATTAGGGAGAATTGACTATGGTCTACATACCATGGATATCCTGAATTGGTCCTGCGTCACCGCCGTACTCCTTCGGCAATATTTCCTGGGGTATGTAATCGTACAATGTTTCCAGGTTGCTGTGCATGAAGATCCTGTTGCGGATCTTCTCCTTGATGAACGGCTTCACGAAGTTCACGATAGTGTCCACGAGCGGGCTGACGTTCACGACGTGCACCTCCTTCAGCTTCACCGGGTATGCTTCTTGCACGCAAACCAGGAATTTCTTCACGACCGTAGGCGTGAATTTAGCGAAATGAGCCGGCGTCGCTACGCTGGCATCCAGGATATAAACGTCGCCAGCGACACCGACGAGTTCTTCTTTCAAACGAATGTCACCGATCATCATCACCATCTTCATCGCCTCCGTTATGTTCGGGGTAGGTATTTCCTTGTCGATTCCCCGCATGATGATCACGCGACGACCGTTTTTCGTCAGACCGGGCAACGGTGGGATTTGTCTAAAAATAACGATGCTCGGTTATCAATAAGTTTATGTAACAATTCGGAAGAATAATATTCAGTATTCGGTCATATGTTACAGATTGCTAGATATTTTTCGTGAATTTATCTTATTTAGGGCGAATTTTGCGAAAAATAGTCTTTGAAGTAGACTGCGAAGTCTTTGCATAGACTCGACTTGCACCTAGCTGTGCTATTGAAAAACTTCTTGAGAATGTAGAGAAGAATGATTTTTACATCAGTTTGCTGATTTCCCTCAGTTCTGGCCTCGTAATGTCTCGGTCAGCGAAAAACTCGGGGATCGCTGTTCTCATCGTAAAATACATGTCCAACTTTCTTTTGCACTTTTCCAAGGAGAACTTACAGCCTCGCAGGAACGTCATTATCCTTTGATCGTCTGAGAACAGCAAGAATTGTGTAAACAAGATGGAGCGAAATATATCAAACGTTGATGCGTAAATCTTTCAAAGAAAGGTGACCGATTACGCGAGCGATTGCGCTCGTCTTACAGAGCACCGTATTTAGGTAAATTGTGATTATCTGTAACGCGAGAAAAATAGACAGACGTATTTCGTTGCCCAAATGTAGGGTAACGCAATGCTTATTGGAGTGCGAAAGTTATAGAAAGCTATTGAAGTGACACAAAAACGATACGGAATGTTGAAAACATTATTGTGTAGATAATTAAATTATCAGAATTTAAATTATTTAAATTCTATTACATTATAAATAATAAAATATGAATTATGTATTTTATTTAATATTAAATTATTTAACAGCTAAATCTTTAATAATGCATAAACTATTTATATATAATTAATAATAATATATATATATATATAATAAATTTGTTATCTTGACAAAAATCTTGACAAAATGGTTATATGTAATTATTTCTAGAATATATCATTAAATGATTTGAGAATAATAAATGTTTTTAATAATAAATGATTTATTTCAAAATATATTTGTATTTTAACAAATTATTATTAGTCTTCGAAAAGACTAAATAAAAGACTAAATAAATAATAAATGTGTATAATTAAATTATTATTGCTCCTCAAAAAAGCTCTGAAAAATTTTTATAAATGTATACTTCTACATACAATCTAAATTACGTAAATTCTACTAATTTAATTATCTACACAATAGTGTTAGTAAATAGTTTATATCCTCATGATTTAAATAATTCGAATGATAAAGAATTTATTATAT